TCTATAAAAAAATTATTATTAAAAATATGATAGATTGGAGTTCATTGTCTTAAAATATCATTTCGAATATAAAAATATCATTCAAAAAAATTATGCAGTGTGTAAATCGTTGCTTATTTTGTTTTTAAACTTTTTGAAGAAACTTGTTACCCCAAGAAATTTATTTTTGTACTAAACAAACTGGGTCCAATTTTTTCACCAACTATATATAATCATCATATTATAGTTTAATGTTATATAAAAAAAATTTTTTTGATCAAAAATCTCCGACCCTTCTTTTCCTAGAGCGCCCCCACATAACAATTTTAACAAACACAGTCAATCATTTTATATTAAAATTCTCTGGTTGATAAATGATCTGCGAATTAATAAAACAAAACATTTGCCGTACGACACAATTTTTGCTAATATGGTGAAAACGTTGATCGTGCCAAAAACCGAAAAAACCAGGCACGGTCAGGCGTAAAAAGAGACAATCGGCAAAAGGCCTGCGCGGAAGGAAAACTCTATCTCAGTTACACGACAAGGTTTTTTTAAGATAAGATTCCTTATTTTCTACCAATAATGGGGGTTCTGGGTTGGGATTCGTGTAACCGAGGTAGGTGTGGTAAGAGTATTCACACGGGAAGTCGCACGACTTGTGGGTTTTAGAAGGAGATCGTGATATGGCAAATGTGTTAACAATTCAAAATGCTTAAAAAAATTTTTTATATCATTTTAAAAAAGTTAACCGATAAGTTTTTTTTTCATAGAGTATTTTCTACAACAACAACATATATTGTTTAACGAACATATTACATCAAAAGAAAAGCATTATCAAATTCGGTTATGCAATTCAAAATATTGCAACACGAAAATTATTATTGCATTTCTGAGCTTAACTCTCAAATTTAAAAATCCATAAAAAAAAATTTAAAAACAAATTTTATTTAATGGTGGTGATTTTTTTAAAACCCAACATGTGGATCACATAATATTTCATTTTTGAGTATAGATGGATGATCCACACTGAAAAAAATTTTTTTAACAGTCTCAGAATATTGCAGATCAAATGTCACATATGGGGGGGCTTTTCAATAGAAACGAGGAATGTTGCCCAAAGTCGATTTTGAGTTAATGACACTTATGTATGTAACCCATCACAAAGAGCATTTTTTAGCTTCGAAACCATGCCCGCTTCACTTAAGACTTTATTTTTATTTTTTTCAAAAAAGCCATAGTGATTTGAAGTTGCACAATTTTTTTGGTGCCTTTAGCTTATTGGTTTAAAATTTAATCAAAAACAATAAAAACAATACAATTTTGTGTCACCAAAATTTGAAATGTCCAATTTCAGCCCGTATGATGTGATCTACACAACATGTAAATTGTCAAAATTTTTGTATTAACCAAATTTGAATATACTCGCTAAACTTTTATTGTATATACATACATACACATGTATATATATATATACATGTAAAAACTTTTTATTAATAAAAAAGGAAATAAAATAATACAAATAAATCAATATATTATTATTATTAATATGTTTACACGCAATTTACTTAGCCTCAATTTCTTAGTGTATAAACCACAAAATAGGAAATAAATAAAAAAAGACAAAAGACGGTCACACCAATTTAAAAAAAATAATTGTTTATATATATACGTTTAATAAAAAAGGGTTTCCCAAATTTCACATTCCTTTTCTTTAGATCATTTTATCTATCTTTATTTTCTTTCTTTTTGTTTGATTAACTCATTTAAAAATACATAGATATAATTTTTCAGTCTTAATTTCTTATTGTCATTCCCTATATACACACTCCTTTAATTTTTTTAAACATATTTTCATTGAATAATAAATCACCATCTCCTTTTTTCGCACAATTATTTTCAAGAATATTATTAACAACTTAGTTTTTCGGTAGACTTTTAAATATAAATTTGGGTTTTTAAAGAAACATACTCATAAAAATGGCAATATTGAAACTGCCCTTTTTTTCTAAACAACCAGAAGTAAAACCTTGGAGGTATTTTTATTATTATAATAATGAATAGGGAGGAGGTGGTTGACATTATAACTTTATGAATATTATTTATTAATTTTAAGTTTTTTTTTTTAATTTCAAAAACAAGCTTTCCTGAGGAAAAACACGAACGAATAACAGATTATTTGTACGGACGAGAAGTAAATTTAAATTCACCATAGTACGTTAAGTAATTATTATAATCGCTCTGAAGTAATTCAATCATCTACGAATTAATTAATCAATCATTCAATATGTGTGTATTTGTTAGTATTCCAAGAGATTATTCAAAATATGTTTCAAGTAAAATACCACAATTAATTCAAGAATCTGAAATAAATATGGAAAACCATGATAAAATATTTTCATCGCATTGGATATCATATGACGAAATTGTTATAGGAACCAAATGTAACAAGGTATTATATATTATTATTGAATCAATAATATTATAAATTTGTAGATTTCAATTAATTTTTTTTTTTTGTTGTTATGAGAAAAGCTTTTAATACTTAACATACAAAATAATAAAAGATTTGAAATTCCATTGGTAACGGAAGAAGATAGAATAAATAATAACAATAACATCAATAATAATAATAGTATTATTAGTAATATTATTAGTACTATTAATAGTAGTAATAATAGCAATATCACCACCATCACCGCTAATAATAATAATAATAATCAAGATAACGGAAATTGTTCAGGAATCCGTAGTATTGCCGTTAATCCGTCAAAGACACTTTTAGCTGTGGGCGCCGGAAAACCATATCAAGTCACAATTTATGAATTACCTTCATTTGATCCTGTTGCTGTATTTGCTGTAATTATTTATATTTACATTTATATTTATATTTATGTGCTTAGATGAGCTCATATTAAAAATTTTTTATTAAATTTTGTTTATTTTATACTAAGGGTCATAATGATCTAGTATTTTCTGTTGAATGGTTAGATGATGATCATGTAGTATCAGGTAACAATTAATATATTATATATTCAAAAATACAATATTTAAAACCTCTCATAAAATTTTTTTTACAATCTTGAATAAATTAATATTTTAAGGTTCGCGTGATGGTACAATCAGACTTTGGTCAATTCAATCAAAAATTGTTTCTGAATTACCCATCCTCCCTAATAAATACATCAATGTTCATCAATCTTTACTCACAAGATCTGGGAATATTGGTAAAGTAAGGGATTTGAAATATAATCCAAAAACAGAGGTAATTGCCAATAAGATAACAAAACTAAACAATCATTTACTTTATCCCAAAACAAATCATAATCTAATGTTTATTAATATATTATAATTAGCAAATAATGACTCTTTCAACCGCAGGTTATGTTAAGATATGGGATTCTTCTTACCTTAACAGAGTATGTATTATTATATTCTAATTGTTTACATGACTCTTCAATTTTATAAGTATATATTTATATCTAATCAAACTTCCTTAGATTGCAAAAATTCAACTTAATCACACAAATGAAAATGTATGCTTATCAATGAATCCAAAACTAAGTTTATATGCCGTTGGTTCACAATCTCATGTTTCAATCTTAGATCCAAGAATTTCATCCTCAATAGTTCACGAAATAGATTCAGTTGATGAAGGCTGGGGTAAGGACCAAAGAAATTTTTTATTATTACATGATCTATAATTACATACATATATTTATAATTTAATATATTTATGCTATTATTGGTCAAAGGTGTCAGATCTTTGAATTTTAATGATCACATGATAACAATTGGCGGTGGTTATGGAAGATTATCATTTTATGATTTAAGAGCTCAAAGATATTTGGAATTCCATTCCATAAATACTAATGACGATCTAAATATTTATCAACAAGATTATTATGATGATGATAATCTAATAAATAATAATAATAATAATAATAATAGTATTACTAATGTGAATAACATTAGTAATATTAATGACACCAACAACAATAGTGATGATATTAATAATAATAATAATAATAATAATAATAATAATAATAATAGCAATGATGATGATAATAATAATAATGAAAATTCTGTTGTTCGTAACTATAGAGAAATTGGATCTGGTTGGCTGGTAAATAAAATAAAATAATTTATATATAAATTCAATCTTATTTTATTTATCCATTCTCTCCTTCTAACCAAAATATTTAAATCTTTATATAGAATCGTGATGCTGTATACATAAATCATTTTTCTGGTTCCTCTATTCAAAATGCAATCTATACACTTTCTTATGATGAATCGGGTACAAAATTATTCTCTGGTGGTGGTCCATTACATCTTGGATTAAAAGGTTCGTATGCTGCTCTTTGGGCATAAATAAGATATACTTTCATGATGAATATTTACAGAGTAGATAATACACACATATTTATATATAGAAATAGATAGATGATGAAAATTAAATTTTTTGTAATTTTATATTATAGACAACTTTTTGATTATTTATTTATTTATTTATTTATTTATTTATTTAAAATTTCACAAATTTGTAAAATTTATTATTACTATTTTGGTTTCTCTATAAAGAAATAGAAGTATAGAATATATTATTATGTAAAAATATTTAATAATATCAAATGTATAAAAGTTGCCTTGCTTTAAAAGGATGTATGTAGATCCTCGAAATAAGTTACTGCCGCAGCTATTTTGAGAAAATCACCAAAGATTTCCTTATCACTGCTATTATTTTTTTTAAAAAAATCAGAGAATCATTTTGAAAGATTTATTTATTAAAAATAAATACCTGTTGATGTAAATATCGAAAAGTTTGTAAAGTTTTAGAGAACTATTTTCAAAATGATAAAAGATATAAAGAAAAAGAGGATTGGGAACAAAGTGAACATTGGTATTACCAGAATTTCAGGGATCAAAATTTATTAATGTAATTACCATTTGCTAACTTTTTAATATTAAGTGATGTATAAGAACTATCCCTATATAAAGATAGTTAATATGTTAACAAAATGTTACAATTGATTTTTTAGCAAGCTTTCTGGAATTAGAGCATCTACCATTTCATCAAAAAAACCTTGAAGTCTTGAATCAAATTGTTCAATCATATCAGAGAATTTAAATTGGATCTAATTCAATTTTATCTTTTAGTGTTCTTTGTTGTTGATAAAGAGCTTTACTTAATATTTTGATTTTTGTTGCATTTTTCAAGACTAAAGGCATATAACAAATAATTTTTTCTCAAAATCCTCATAATAATTTTACATAAAAATTTCTAAGATAAATAAATAAGGAAATGGGTTCAATTATTATATCAACTGTACTCGTAAAATCTGTAACAAAAAATAATGACATTACAATAGGACAATTATTGTTTAGAACCAGTGATGAGGAATTCCAAGTCAGCGAATACAAAATTTTTAATAGTAACGAATCTGTGACCGAAATAATTCAAAAAAATAATTTTTATTTGGTGGTCGGGAAGTTTTTTTTTTTTTTTGATAATAAAATAAATGTAAGATTTATTTATTTATTTCAATACCTACACCGCTATCTATATTTTTCTTATTTCATGATACTAAAAAATTGTAATTATTTTTACGGTTTATTTAGATTGTAATATCTCAAATGATATATTTGATATATCTAGATTTAAATTATGATAAATCAAAAGAAAAATACGAATCTCTTCCTAACTCAGTACCGTATGCTATTTTCAATGATGAAGTTCATGATACAGACAAAAAATTGGAAGAAGATGAAGATTGAACTCTGCATTTATTTAAAATGAGAAGGGAGGTATGTGATAATTTTATTATTGAAAAAGATAAAAAATAAATAAAAATAAAACCAGTGTGATAGAGTAAATTTGAATACCTTCCTCCTGATGACTGCGTAACTTTTAAACATAATAACGTTTATAATTAGTTTATCATTAATATTAGTATATTCCTATTAAGGGTGGACCAGGATAAAAATCCCAGAACTCCTACTACAGTCAACCCTCCATAAGTGCACCCCCCTTGGGAATGGACAAGACCGTGCATTTATGGAGGGATGCATTTAGGGAGGGTAAGAATCTTATTGGCTGCACGTGACATGCAGGATATTGTTAAAAAAAATTTATTATTATATATGTATAATATACATTATAAAAAATTATAAAAATTGATCCATTGTATATAGTTTGTTTCATTGAATTTCTTTTTTTTAAATTAATATACTGATCAAGAGCATTAACTTGTTTTAATTGTTCTTTAGTATTTCCTTGTTGTAGTAAAAAGGCGTAGACAATTTCCAAACTTTTGGAAGCTTCATTAGCACTTATTATTACTGGTTCAATGCTATCGTCATCTTCATTATTGTCAATAGGCACTTCTGGTTGTTTTTTATATACTTCAACAAGTCCTTCAATAAGTTTATCATCATCAAGAACTTCATATATTTTTTCTTCTGGATTATTTAAAAACTCTTCAATTGGCATTCTATCAGATAAGTTAAGAGTTGTAAGGCATGTAAATGAAAAATAATTAATTAATGTACACGATAATTATGTTTCTTGTTGCACATTGATCACGTGAAAGTCACGGGTGTGCATTTAGAGAGGGTGGTTTTATATGAATGGGATTGGAAAAAGACCATGCAGTGCATTTATGGAGGGATGCATTTATCTCTTAAGTCCCGAGGTTGGGAATGAGACATAGGGTGCACTTATGGAGGGTTGACTGTATTCAAATACGAGAGAAAAGGTTTAATTGTTTTATTTATTTAAAAATAAAATAAAAACGATTAAAATCCGAATATGCAATTTTCATCAATTTTGTCAGACAAAAAAATTGTTACACATGTGTCTATATGAACCAGTTTTTGATGCAAAGTAAGGATAATAAGTTGTGTTATTAGTTAATGATTTGTAGGGCAAGGTCAGTACTCGGTCAACAGTTGATTTAACTTGTCTGTAAAAAACCAACCTTTTAGCTTCTACATAGAGTTATCCAGGTCTTCACACAGTTCACCGAAAATCTACTTACTTGTCTCAACAATTGATTGAAAAGATTGATTACAAATTTGCAGTTCTTGGCAAATTGTTAACACAATGCTTGTCGGTAAATTGTATGGGACTCTTTAAATAATCGTCCTATCAAGAATAAATTCTTCGTATGATTAGGTTACAAATTTGTACCAAAAAAATTTTTTTTTTTATAGACGCGTAAATTTCAAGCTTCTTTATCATACTCCATGCCCTGATCAAACCTGACCAAACGTTTTCCAATAACAGTATTGTGAATGAATTTTATAATAAAGAGGTTTAGAATATATATATATAATAATGTATGTATATATTTTAATAACATGTATGGAATTTAAACATGAAAAAAAGAATCAGCAAACTTAACAGTATATAAAAGGACAAAGAACCTGATAATATTACAGATAAGTTGAATTATTATTTGCAAATTCAATTTTTATGAAAAAATTTAAGAATTGAACTTAAAAGTTAACTTTTTTTTTGGTATAATATGAAACTATCTAGAGGTAGATGCAAACATGTCATTTTTATCATTTTAAATATTTTCTTATTAATAATGTTTGTTAGATATGTAATTAATTTAAAATATTTAGACACCATGTATTGTTTACTTATATAATATATATAACATAATATGTAGGTGGACATATTGCTAAATATTTATTACTATCAATTCATCAAAATAGAAGATTTCTTTAAAGATTTAATTTTAAACATAATTAATTGCCTCAAATGTAAGTGGCACATTAAAACAATAGCACGATGATAAGAACGAAATAGTAATGAGAATAATAAAAATTATTCTCTCTTGTATGTATTAATATTGGATTTTTTAATTATACAATTATTATACGCGATTTGATAAAAATCAAAATTTTATTTTGTCCAATAAAATCTGGTCAATAAACTCTATTAAATTTGTCGATCATTATTAAAGAAATTCCGTTATGCTGATCTGATCAAAAAAAAATTTTTCTCTTTCCTCATAGAAAAGAATCACTCGCGTCAAAAAAACATAAAACATTAAGATAATATCATACATAATAATAGATAAAAGCAGAGTTAGTGTTTTAAAAAAGGATGACCTATCACCCGACTTGAACAACGTGGCATTATTTATTCAGAATCACCTAAACAAAAGAAACAAGTTAAACAAACTATAAACGAATGACTACACTCTGAGGGGGATATCTTATATAGTTATAAATCTTTACTATAAGAACTCATTGCAGAGAAGAATTAAAAAAATCACATTCATTGTTTAGTTATAATTAAATTATAATTGTGACATTCGATATAAAAAAGGAAAGTGGCTGAACTAAGCGAAAATGAAATGCGCAAATAAACAGAAGCTCGACATTTTCATGTGATAGATAAATGATATATACTTTGTGAAATTTTTTAAAAAATCCCACATTCGAATGATCAACTATTTTTAACAAAGATTTCTTGTTCATCTTAAGTGAGGGTTAGGATAGCAAGTGCCAATTGAAATCGACGAAGTACTGTTTGGCTGAACTCGGGTAGAGTCTATGTTGTAACTAGAGATGTTCCAATGCGCATGTCATGCGCATGTAATTTTTTTTGTACATAGTAATAAATGTAAAACAAAAAAATTTAAAATTTTTTATTATGAAATATTATCCAAATGATTCAAGAAAATTTTGGTCACAATTACTACATTATAAACAACATACTAGCTTGTTTGACAATTCTTTAGCATGGTCAACTATAGGTGAAGCAGATTTGGTAACATAGTGGAAAGGGAATTTTTCATTAGTTGCCCCTGAACTGACTACTCTTGCTGTACAAATTCTTTAAATCCTATATCTTCAGCAGCACCCGAAAGAAATTGGTCTGCATTCTCATATATACATGATAAAAAAAGAAATAGACCAACATCTGGTATGGTTTTCAAATTAGTGTTTATTTATTTTAATTATAATTACAAAAATCCAAAAAATCAAAATAAATTAAAAGATAATGTCAATGGAAACACTACGATACTGGTAATGATAATGAGGAACAGGAAGATGACGTTAGTGAAGTGAAAATGATGATAGTGATGTATATACATCTGAATCAGTGACTAATATTAGTGATTAAAATCTGTTTTGTTTATTTTTAATAATAATAAAAAATTTTTTTAAAAAAATAAAAAAAATCGGCAGATGCAGTGTGCATCGTGCGCATGAAGTTTGAAATTTTCATGCAATTTCCTATCCCTATGCAAGATTGTTCTGGTTGTGTATACAATAAAATGCACTACACTAGCAAAATCGACCAAAACAATACGGACGAAATAAAAAATCACTTGTAAGTTGAAAACTTTTTCAGATAAAAAATACAAAAAAAAAATCTTTTGCTAACTTTGATTCCTCTTTTTTTTTAGTCATTATATACATAGGAATAAAGATCATACCAAAACTGATCCAACATATGTAGATAATAACCCAAATACCAGTGATGATTAAGGTTTCTGGTCCAAATTGTTTCTCAAAGCCCAAACTAGTTTGGGCAATTTGGGCTTCTCAACATTTTCTATAAGCATGAACATTAAAAAACTATATGAATCAACTTGTTTTAACTTAAACAACTTTAAAATAATTTCGCCCAATTTTGGCTAATAACAAAAAGTAGTTTGGGCTTATAAAAAAATAATTTTTACCCAAAATATTTGGGCAATTTCAGCTACTAATAGAAGCAGTTTCAACCAGAAACCTTAGTGATGATGTTGTAATGAATTTAAATGAAGATTTGAGTTTTGAACCCGAAGCTGAAGTTGAACCCGAACCCGAATTTTAATCTGAATCTGACTCAAGTTCTGATGATGATAAACCCTGGGAGGATGTGAATATGAATCGAATTGAAAATTTTACCATTGTAAATGAGGCTTACACTTCAACAAAAAAAAGCAGGACTTTTTTATCTGGGGGGTTCAATCAGGACCAACAAAGACATGCCAGAGATTTGAAAATTGCAGCAGTTGTATCTTCTAAAATTACTGGATTTTTTGGTGTTCAAACTCCTAATAGAGATCAATATCTTGATGATGATGACAATGACGAAGATGAAGATGATAACTGGAGAAATATAATAGATTCTGTTGAAGAAGCTCTTTGAAACCCTGATTTAGACAATAATACAAAGTTTAGATCAACAGCAATTGGGATGTATTTTAGAAATTTAGATAATGGTAAAAAAAAGGTTGAAGCAAGTGAGATAGTGGCAGTATCTCTGGGGTGGACAAAAAATTATAAAAGTAAATGCATTAGTGCCTGGGCCAAACAATGGATCAGAAATAAAACTGTACCTACTTCAAAAAGAGGGAAGCACTCCAAGATGCAAAGCCTATGGAGTCATGAAGACATTGCTGATCAAGTAGGAAGTTATGTACGATCCAAAAAATTTGATATAACACCTAAAAATTTATGTAAGCATGTCAATGAAACAATATTGCCAAATATAGGAATGGATAATGAAGATAAAAAAATATCCGATTCAACAGCAAAAAGATGGCTTAAAAAATTAGGATGGGAGTTTGGCACCCATGAAAAAGGACTTTATGCTGATGGTCATGAGAGGGATGATGTTGTAGAATATAGAAAAAAATTTCTAAAATTTATAGAAGAGCAATACGAAGCCAACCAAATATGAGAGATACTGTATTTGATGGTTCTGAACAAAAGATGGTTGATCCTGATGGAAAGTAGAGAGGAATGAGAACAATATTAGTAGAAAAGGGACTCGATTGAGAAAGGTATGTTCTGAGTGTAAAACCAAGAAATCAAGGGATCAAAATAGAAAGTCAGATTGTTGTGGTTTGAAAATATTAGAACTACAACCTGATTTTCAAGCACAAAAAGGAATCACCCAAGAAGGGATTGAAGCAGTGGGACATATGGTGATCTTCTACCCTAAGTTCCATTGTGAACTAAACTTTATTGAGATGTATTGGGGTGCAGTTAAAAGATATACAAGGGAAAATTGTGTTTACACTTGGAGTGGACTTTTGAATACAATACCTTTGGCCTTGGACTCTATCCCAATTTCATCTATAAGAAAATATGCACATAGATCCTTCAAATACATGGATGCATATAGAAAAGGATTGTCTCTTAGTGCTGCAGAATATGCCATAAAAAAGTATTGTTCTCACAGAAGAATGCATTGGATGAGGTGTCATCTATTAATTAATGAATTATATATATATATATATATATAGTTATTTATTTATTTATTTTTATTATGTAAGTTACCTTATTTTCTAAATAAAATTTCTTCCAATTTGTTCATTTTTAATATATACAGTATATATAAAATACTCTTTCATCAGGAAAATGGGTACAAATATTATGTGTATATAATACATAATTGCAGGGATTAAGCATATAATATGTGTACAAATCGTGTATTTTTTTATGTATGCAAATTGTACATATATTATATGCTTAATCCCTGCAATTGTGTATTATATACACATAATATTTGTACCCATTTTCCTGATGCTTTACAAAATCAGTTTCGAAACAAGTAGTTCCTCTTTATCTATCTAATCCAGTCTCCTTGTGTTTGTTATCATATGAATTATGTGCAACTGGGTTATAACTTTTCATCTCCGTTATACACCACTACTAACATTATTGCTTAGAATTTATATACCAAGTCCTTTACAGATAATTCAGTAGTTTCCTTTAAGAATTTTAACAGAACCAACCATACCCACTAAAAATAAAAAAAGGCAAGTCTTTGTTTCTTGTTGGTGCAAACTAGAGATTGGAATTGGTCAAAAATTTGTTGGGTCATTTTTTTTTTGAACAATTAATCATTCAATAATATGTGCAACAAACAATATCTATTTATAAATAAAATACAAGCTCTTTAATAACGTTAGGACTTAATATTAAATTAGTTCATTTTATAGTAATATTATTACCTACATCACTAAACAATCTTTCATTAGCCACTTCCATTCTGAACTTGATGTTGTTTTAACTGAAGTTGATTTTTTAGAACTTCCTTAATATTGAATTGCGAAGAAATATTCCATGTACCAAAATTGGGCACAAATATTTCTAAAAAAGAATAATTTAAACAACATTTTTTCAATTAATTGGTCATTACTTTTCAAAAAATTAATTGATTAACCTTTGACTGATCCATGTGCTTTCCCAATCAATCTCATGAAACTCTATCTCTGCCTACAGATTCAAATTTCTATTCATAAGTACCCATGTTGCAAACTGTTCTACTTGTCCTAGTTTCTTGATGAAGCCTCTTAGGGGTTTTTGAATTAGATTGTTTTTCCAAAATGCATTATATGTTAAATTATATTTTCTATCCACCTTATATTCAAGATTGGTACTAGTTGTTCCTTCTTTAGCAAGTTTGTCTACTACATTGTTATGGTGTTCTTGTTTATGTGCTTTAACTTTTATAAAATTTATGTCTAAATTTCCCTCTTTTATATAATTGATTATTGTTATCCATATGTCATTATATTTCCCATTTATGGATTGATCGTAAACTATCACGTGACCTGATGGCTTGCTGGAAATCACGTGATCGAAAAATTATTGCATTTTTGATCGGAAATTTTTTCTCAAATCTGTCGTCGAGGCGTAGTAAGTTGCGGGATTAGGTGCCTTGCGCTATAAATAAAAATTTATGCATATTAATATGCAATAAATCAATAATTATAATTATTATTATTATTTGTCAACCACATCCAAATAAAATACAATTTCTTAAATAGAATAAACACACTGGTCTTGGGGAAATTCTTGCTCCTAGTAAAAAAAAATGAATGAAGGTATTTTTTCTTACACAGAAAATAACTATTTTAAAAATATGTAGTATTTTTTACATCATGATTTAATATTTTGCTTTATAATAAAATAATACTTAGCTAAATTCTATAAAGGTAAATAAATATTTTACAACACAAAATAAACATCATCTAATTAAATAATTTGTTTTTTTATTTCATAGGGAGTAAGTATTATATTATA